ATTTCCTGCCCCTGTCTTGTTGTGGTGGGCATGTGATTCAAGGCATGTATGTTATCTTGCATTTAAATGTAAGATAATATACTCCACTGGTGGCCAATCCATGGAATGCAAGAACATGCCACAACTAGTAACTAAGAGAACTAGGACTGTACTTCAAGTGGTAGAAGTCACATGGTTGCTGCTATTGTTCAACCTCAGCATTGCTGATGCCCTTATCACTTTAAAAAGATGTAGGCATAGAAATAAATACATTTCATACTTTCTCACCGTTGCTATTCTTACCTTCTTCCTCCACTGATGTTATCATCATGTGAGGTCTAATTTAGATAGTATTCTCCAAAAGCCTCTGTCACTTTACTGTCTATTATATGCCAGTCCTACACCTGTGGTGCTATATAAATGCTAATAATGCATCAATATGCTCATTCTTTATAAATTCTGTAGGTGGAATTCCATCTGGTTTGTATATGTCATGTGAGATGTTGGTGTGAAAAGTCCTTGCTGTTCAGAATTTGTGATGGCTTCTGAGCAGTTGGGAAATGACAGAAAAAAAAAGATCACAAAAGTGGACGTGCTTATCACTGGAATAAAGACGTCCAGCCGTATGCTTGAGACAGTGGCCGTGACTGGTGCAGAATACCCAAGTGGTGAAATTCTTCTCTAATCTCTGAAAAGCCTTAGTGAAGTAATTTGGACATAAACCAGTCTTCTTATCTTTTTCTGAATAATTTCAGCTCAACCTAGTGTATTTAAGAAAGTTTTGGTATTTGGAGCACTCCCATTTCTTTCACAAAATGTATCTACTTTTTGAACTCTTTTGGGGTGAGTGGTAAGAACTTAGAGCATGTCCAGGCTCCCAGTAAAGCTTTCCTGTCTTCACCCAGATCTTTTTATATTTACATACTAGTCTCAGATGTCCAGGTCCTCAGTTCCAGAAAGATCAGTCTTAACTTCCGGGTAGCCGTGCAGGAACTCCCCAGCAGGGAATGATGTGCAAGGTCAGGGTAAGTTTGTACAGAACATGATGATTCTATGAAAATATCTTGACTATTCCCTGGTCTGAATTTGTGTCCTTTCCCATGAGATACTGATGGAGTTGGCTGAATTAGACTAGGAAAACTTGATCCTAAGAAACTTGAAATCCAAAATGTAAAAAGCTAGACTGGAGAATATAGGAAATAATTTTGCAAATTTTCCCAGTTGCAAATTGGCTGAAGTCTGGAAGCGTCCCCGTTGGTTAATCTAAATTGTATTCTGAGCTGCTCTTAGTATTCATCACTTGCCAAAGATTAATTTCCACAGATTACAAAGGGGAGCAATTCAGTGCTTCCTTGGTAAAGCGAAAACAAGTTTTCCTTCCTCTGTTTCATCTCTTAGACACTTCCACTAGAACAAATACTGATTGTGATTAAGCCTAAAATAGGAACTTTCAAAACCAGAAAGCCCTGATAATTAATAGAAATTAGCCTTCAAAATAGTACTTATGCATTGCTTGGTGCACAGTCTAGATGCATATTTGTTACAGAGATACACACACAGCCACACACAAGCTGTCTTGCGGGGTGAGACGCAGAAATGGGAATGTTTTATTGCACTCAGAAAATCATATCGTTGTCATCCAGGGATTAAGGCTGGTTAGGCGGAACGAGAGCTGAGAAACACAGAAGCCAGGGGCAGCCCTGGGGCTGAGGGCAGGAAGAGGAGGAGAGGGAGGAGGAGGAGGCTGCCTGCCTGCCCTCCTCGCAGCCTGCAAAGCTGCCGGCCACCACTGCCGGTATGGCCAGGAGCAAGGGCACCCTCCGCACATGGCTAGCCTGCCCGGGGCTGCTGGGCTGTTTCTTGCTGGGCTTTCTTGCAGGTGAGTAGAGAGACACAGGGACTCTGCTCGCAGCCTTTGCCCTCTACAGATACTCATGTGCAACCCCTGGTAACTGCCCACCAGGGAGCTTTTACGGTTTTTTAAGGATGTCATAAAAGACACGTCCCACTGTTTTCCTAAGAGATGGTTCTCTTTGGCAGTTTTGGTCTTTAAGGAGTGAGGAATATAACGGGTGTGTGCTTCAGTCCAAGACGAGCCCTGGTGAATTGACAGCTTCCCGTAGCAGCCAGTCAGACTTTCAGAGAGGAGAGCTTAATAGAAGAGTTTGAAACTTCTGTGATTGTGAAACCTCCAGGATTTTTTAAAATTTGTATTTACTGATTTTTACTGAAGATCTATTTAAATGCTCCAGTTCAGTTGCTATTTTAGAAATGAAGGGCAGAATGTAGAGGAGGATGAGTTTTGACTGACAGCCAAGAGTGGAGTTGCTGAATTTTTCATCATGTACAATGAACTTTACAAGAATATTGGATTCTTTTCTACAGTCACAGCATTTGATTTTTAAGTCTAAAATTGCACGTCTGCATCTGTCCTTTTTAAACTTGTGTTGTAGCACACACCTAAGGCTAAAGCATGAAAGAAAAATCCATGAGGACTATTAAATATAAAAAAACCATTCATTTGCTTTAGGAGATCCCTGAGCTGCAAATTTCTGGTGCTTGTGCTATTCTTCTGCATTTCCTTGAACACCATCTTTTGGCCATGCTCCAAAACAGGGTACTGGGTAAAATGGACCTTTGGTCTGATCCAGTGTCACTGTCATGTTCAGTGTTACTACAATTGCATTTAAGTCTAACAGATCATATATATTGTGCACGTGACAGCATATATACTTGGCTTTATTATGACAATTTTCCCAGTTTGGGATTGTCTAGCTGTAAGAATAAAAGGATTTGGGTTTTTTAAAAGACAAATTCATATAGTTGATATAGTCTCTCCTTTCAGATTTTTGGCTACTGAAAAATCTTTAACTTTTTAAAACTGACTTGGGTCACAGTTAGCTTTGTTCCTTTAATTATTAAACAGACTAACCCCACCCTTCCCCAAATTTGTAACTATTATAATGCTGTCAGGGCGACTGTTGAGTCCTAGACCTTTACTATAAATTTGCTTATACACCTATTTTTGAATAGATGTGTAAATAAGGGAATTTCATCATTAGTATCAGGAATTCTGTCCTCACACTGCAAATAGTTAATTGAGAATTTAAAATATAGTTTAAAATTGATGAGAGCTGAATCTGTCTTAAAAAGGGGACTATATTTACCAGAGGTTTAGGGTGTGCTCTTTTAATTACATCACTTTTTTGGCAATTCAGTCAATGAAGTACGTTTTACTTTTCTGCTTCGCTTCTGTGTTTGAGCCAGCAAACACTGACAGAGGGTGCTCTAAGCCCTGTTCATCCTCATGGTTTTAATGAGACTGTTCAGTACCTGAGGTTGCACATGGGCTCAAATATGTGAGGACTGGGGTTCTTGCTAAGCAGGAAGCTTTTCAAATGTGTTTCAGGGTGGTTTACAAAACCGACCGAAAAAAACCTCAGCTCTTCAGATGTCTATGAAAATGTGCGACAGAAACTTGTGGCTGAAATGAAAGCAGAAAACATCAAGCAATTCCTTCGGTAAGACCTGCGCATCTTGGTTTTTGAATAATTTTATCAGTCACAAAATCCGGAAAGTGATAACATCAGCTCCAAGGAACAGCCTCTGAAAGCAGAGCTGTTAAAATGCTTTGGGAGTGTTTGGTTTGTACCGAATGTCTGGGGGAAGGAGAAGGGAGAGTCTCACAACCCTTCTGTTTCCCCCTCCCCATTTTTGAAGTTACCTTTTTGGAGTGGTTGTACTGTTAAGTGTACTTCCCTCAAACTGCATTACTGCCAGGGCTTATCATGCTTTTTTATTATGATTTTCCACAGTCTTGATTTAATGCAGTAGAAGTGTCTGTTTTTTCATCACAAGTGTCTGAAGATCTAACGTTGGATGACTTTGCTTTGTCTCAGACTGAGAGGATTTTGCTGTATTTGGGATACACTGATTGCTGTTAATTACATTTGATTGCTAATTGTCCAGAGACTCCTTAAACTCAGTTTGAGCAGATAGTCTAAGAAGAAAGTGAATATATTAAAAATGTAACATTAAAAAAGCTACGAAGTTTGTATGGCACTGAGTTCTTTATCTCTCTCTCTATATATATAGATATATATATCTATACTGGATAATGTGCTGGTAATTGGGTGCTTGAGATCCTGTTATACTCTGTCTTCTGTTTCAGAAGACAAAGGGCCCTGTCCATGCACAGTGTGTGTGTTGAGTTGCTTAAGTCTTGCATGATGTAATTGTTATTAAATATACTTTTTTGCATCCTAGTGCATCCATGCAGTGCTTTCAAATCATCTAAAATGCTAAGGACATAGAAATACCCTCTTGTTTTGCTGTGTATCCCACTGGAAATGAAAAAAAAAAACATTGCGCGTATTTATATCTTCTATATTCACACAAAGAGTAAACAAATACAACCTCTGGTTAGTAATATGTTTGTATTCTTCATGTAAGTCAGCAGCTGCATCCTAAACATCAAAGGATTACTGACAAATTTGGGTTTTGTACATTTATTCTAAAACCAAAGGATTTTATTTCTAATATCAATTAGCTTTTTACGTCTATAGGCCTTATCTTATTTTGTATTTGTTGCTCTCAGTAGATTGGACAGTTCCCAAAGATTATATTTGAGTGGGAGTCTAGGCAACATAGGTGTTGATGACAGAGGGTATTAGTGGTACCTAGTTTGCCTGCTTGCTTTGATGATGGGCTAAATGCTTCATACTGTTTGGATTTTTTTTCCTAAATTCAAATAAAAAGCAGGAACTGCAGAAAAATTATACTAATACACTATCCAAAAAGTTTGTTAAAAGCATAAAGAAATGTGAACTTGAGAACTTAGATCCATATTCTTAGTTTTTCAGACTACTAAATCTGCTTTGATTAAGGGGAGAAAAAAGCTATGAGTCTTAGAAAAAGCAGACACTTTGACCTCAGCGTTGAATCATAGCTCTGGAAAGGATGAAACTGTTTGGAAGTGAAAAATTGAAAAAGGCATCACGTGGTATTCAGTATATTTTTCCTTACAGCATATTTAGTATTTAAACTAGTGTACTTAAGGAATTAAAACGTATTTAAAACGCTAGAGAATTAAAGTGCAAGAAAACGGGCAACAAGCTTTGGCAAAGATTGCTTCCAAACCTCAGTGCATACCCACAGAGTTTAGAGCGAAAGACAACAGCAGAGAGCAGAAGCTTGTAGAATCTCTAGATTCTAGATGCATTCGAATCCAGGGACCCAGGTGGGATTCACATGAAAGTCATGGATGTTGTGACTGCAAGGCCGCTGTCCATGAGAAGTTCTGGTGACTGAAAGAGGTCCCTGGTGGCTGAAAAAGGCTGCTGTTGTGCTCATCTTTAAGTAGGGCAAGAAGGACAAACTGGGGGGCCTGTGGGCTAGTCAGCTTCACTTCAGTCCCTGGGAGGGTGACCAAACATCCTTCTGGAATCTCTTTCCAAACACATGAAGGACGCAAAGATAGTTAGAAACAGTCAGCATTTATTTACTATTTGTTTATATGAACAGCAAGACCCCCTTCTGTAAGGCAATGGCTGGCTATGTGGCTGGGGGGAAACATGACAGTGGCTGTAACACCCTTCAATTTAGCAAGGCTTTGGACATCGTCTCCCCCAACGTTCTTGTTTGGAAGCTGTGGAAGTGCGTAAGGAAGAAAAAGCTGTTCCATGGGTTGAAATCAGTGTGAACTAACAGGTTGAAGTGGTACTAATCATGGTATTTGGTACCGCTAATTAATGGCAATTAATGGTATCTGACATCCGTGGGGCAGCCATTAACAAGTAGCCTGTTGGGAATTCGAAGCTGGTCCTTAGAACCCATCTGACTGATCAGCATCACCGTAACTCATTTGTTCAGTGGGCCAAATTGCAGGCAGATTTGTGCAGGGTCGCCCAGAGGGGCTGGGTGTTGTTTCTGAATATTTATCACCATTATGTGTTATATCTGATCTGGGTGTAAATGTTGTTAAGAAGGCTTTTTTTTTAATTTTATTTTGATTAAGAAAAAAAGAACAAATCTTTGCAGATAATTTGACATAATGATTTTCAAGTTAAACTTATTAGTACATGTTATGCCAACAATGTACAAACCCATCATCAGATACCCAAATTATTTGGAGGGCTCCTTTCTGAATGTGTAGCTTTTCTGTATCTGTTTCTGCTGCTTGCATACTGTTCATACTCCTTTGCTGAATATCTTTGACACTGACTTTCGTTGCTTGTATGTAGAAGTGGCTATTACTGTTACACAAAGAGAAAGGTTCAGCTGACTTATCTTAAGGCCTCAGGAAAGATCCTCTGCTCTGACTACAGTTTGTGCTTATCCTGATGCAGACTCTGATAAACAAACATGTTATACAGCTCAGACTTCAAGACCTTACTTTCCATGCATGTGGCTTGAAGATAAGCTTTATACACACTGATCTTGTTTCACTGTTGTGCCTCTCTGCATTTGCTGCTTAATAGCAATTTTCTGTTTTATTCTAGCTCATTTACCAAGTTGCCTCACCTCGCAGGAACTGAACAGAATCTTCTTCTTGCCAAACAAATTCAAGGCCAGTGGAAGGAATTTGGATTGGATTCAGCAGAACTCGTTCATTATGATGTGCTTCTTTCGTATCCAAATGAAACGCAGCCAAACTACATCTCAGTAATTGATGATCAAGGGAATGAGGTGATCTTTTTAATGATTAAACTATATTTATGTAAGACTTCTTTAAAGAAACAGTATTTTCCTCTGTTCTCCCACCCACTCATCCCAGCATGTGCTTTATAATATGATAAGAAATCCAGCGCAAAGGGAACTCATATTTAGAAATGGTTTTCCAGACTGTTCAGCAGAACAGCAGAGTGGCTGAAGTCTGACCCCACTGGCTTCCTACGGTGTCTCCTAAGTAATAGTGAACAGTTGGTCTATAGTTACCTTCTCCATTTTGTGCACACACAGGGGAATAAAGAAGTAGATGTAAGATCTGACAAAGAGCCTGGATGAGGAGAGGAGATGGGACTGCTAGAGGAGCATCATAGCATGTAGGTAGGGGTGAAAAGCCCTGGTAGAAACTAAGGAATATGTGCTCAGGGATGAGATGAGCTTAGAGGTGGAAAATGGAGAAATTCTTCCAGAAATCCTATCACAGTCTCTCATCTATAATCTCACAAAGTGATAAAAAGCGGACATGAACATTAAGGCAATATGAGTGTTACAACAGATAATGATAAAAGGCAACACATTTAACTGGAGTGTAACCAGCAAAGAGGTAAAGAGAAGAGTAATAGTACAGGCAGGAGTAATCACAAAAAAACCCTGTGATAGCATGGACGAACCTGGTGTCTTTTTATTGTCACCACCTCTTGGCAATTTTCAGCCACTTCTTTGCTTAGGTTCATCAGTGACTGATGAGCATTTTCTGACATGTGATCTATCTCTCTGTATTCATATCTGCATTCTGTTACACAAATTCAACTATGTATCCCTAGATGTTTTTTTTTGTTTGAACTTATGTGTGCTAGTTAGACTTGTATTTGTTGCTGACTGCTTGTGGAAACTAACATGTCATTTGCAACAACCAAGGTTAGTGTACAAACTTGGGCCTGGAGGTAGAGTGTTTGACCAAAGACTTCTGTTATTTATTCATAGATTTTCAATACATCACTGTTTGAACCAGCTCCACGGGGATATGAAAATGTTACTGATATACTACCACCATATAATGCTTTTTCAGCACAAGGATTGCCAGAGGTAAGAAAAAGAATTATGTAAGAATATTATTAGCTGAAGTCATATTTTGCAAAACGCTTGCTGGGATAGAGTGCTCCAGCTTCTCAAAATATTTGTGTAGTAGCTTTAATTAATCATTAGTATAAGAGAAGACTTAAGGACAGCTAGACCACATATTGTGCAAAGGTTAGAAGTATCCTATTATAAAAAAACACCTTTCTCAAATTGCTCTAAATCACATAATACGTGAAGAGCTTCTATCTTTATGGAAAATGGTGGATACATCTCAGATTACTTCACATTACTCAATCATATGGAAAGGACTGGCTTAAGTCATAAGCAGAAGTAGCAATACATAAATTCATTTGTAACACACTTTACACTGGGTGGATGTCTTCAAAGGCTATAAAAGTCCCTCGCTTAATCTGCTAATTCTTCATTGAGGAACAAATCAGGGACAAGATTGCATAAATGAATGGAATTATATAATAGTGAGTGTTTCTGTATGCAAGGAATACCACTGTTTTTTCAAGCCCACGGAAGTTTGTCAGTTTAGCAAAGTACGTTGGTTTAGTTTCTATCTCAGTTTATAGGGCTGCTGTAAAGTGCAGGAGAGTATAGAAAGGTCCACAGTTTGCACCAAGGCTTCCCATGGAATATTATGGATATGTTTTTCTATGGTTTTTACGAGCACTGGATCTCATTTATAGAAATCAAAGAAACCCCAAACTATATCATACACAGTGAATAAAACTGTGTATTTCTGAAAACAGATATTTTGTTTGTTGAATGACCGGTTGCCATCTTGTTTCCTGTGCAGGCAGATCTGGTGTATGTGAATTATGGCCGTACCGAAGATTTTTTCAAGCTCGAGCGTGAAATGGGAATTAACTGTACAGGAAAGATTGTCATTGCCAGATACGGGAAGATCTTCAGAGGAAACAAAGTAAGGGTTGTGTTTTACTTTTTCCTCCGTGGGTCAGACACTGCTCATGGTAGAGCTGGCAGGAGTTAATGAGGGCTGTAAGTTGGAACATATGAGCAGAAGAAGCATGCAATGAATCCATTGTGACTGCATTCTAAGAATAACTTCCAAAACAATAAAAACAGATGAATGTATTAATCTCCTGAGACTGAGACGGCTGCAAACTCCCTAGGCGGTTCTAAGAAGAGATTAGTATAGGGAACCGAATAGCTTGTGGAGCCAAGGCTTTTAATACTTTTCATCCATAGAACTGCAGTATTTTGAAGATCTAAGTATTTAAGGAGTCTGATGTACAGGGATTCAGCAACTAACTCTTCTGATTTCAGGCAACAACTCTGACAAAATTGGTAATAGTCGGACAGAGGGGATAATGGTCAGTTTTTGTACTTAGTTTTACGTTCCTGTGCTTTATTTCATAGCCTTGAGCTATGACTAAGAATGTGACACAAATAATGAACATACTGTGTTTCATTGTGGTTAGGCTTCTGCTGAGTCTGTGTCCATTTTCTCTCTTCCACATATACAACTTCTAAAGCTATGTCCCCATGGAAGTAAATTGCAACATTCAGATTTATTACTGCGTTGGAAAAAAAAAAAAAAAAAGGCGTTTCTTAAAAGCAAGTAATTTCACAGGTTAAAAATGCCATATTAGCAGGAGCTCAAGGGATCATACTTTATTCAGACCCTGCTGACTACTGTGCCCCAGGAGTAGATGCTTATCCAGATGGCTGGAACCTTCCAGGTGGAGGAGCCCAGCGTGGGAATGTGTTAAACCTGAATGGAGCTGGGGACCCTCTAACACCAGGTTATCCTGCAAAAGGTGAGTGAAAGATCTGTGCCCCAGGCCATCAGGTTCTTTATGAGCTGGTACATAAAGCTATTGTGGCACTAGAAATTAATCTATTTTCAGTACAGTTGCAAAGAAAAAAGCTGCTTAAAATTATTTTTAGCAGTAGTTAATTTTCCTTTTGCAGACTGAGTTCTACCTGTACGCCATTTCAGCCGGTTGCTTCTGAGTTAGGCAGGGAAAGTAAGTTTTCAGTAAAACCTCTTTGTATGATCCCAGCCTCCTAACTTGTAGAAAAGCAGGATGTGTAGGTTTACAGACTGTGAAGCAGCAGAAGATGACTGAGAATTTATAGCCATTTTAAAATATCTGTGTTTCTCAAGAGGACTGGTTTAAACTAGATTATAATCTACCTTCAAAGAGGAGCAATAGCTTTTGCTTGGAGGTATGTTTCCTTGCTGATCGTAAATTCCATCAGAAAACCAGTTTAAAATCCTCCTTACAAGGAATAAAATCTCCGTAGTAAAAATAAGAGTAGTCTGGAGCCTTTCAAAACTTGGCACCATGTCTTGTCTTTGTAGGCTTCCTGAACTCAGTCTGCACTAAGATGCCTACCAGTCCTGTCTGCTGAAGGGATGGGAATACAGGGGTGCTTCTGGAAATCTCACTGGCTTGGATGATCATTGTTGGAGGGTGCAAGACAACAACCTAGTGGAAAAACAGGGTAGTTTGTGTGTACCTAGCCCACCAGATTCAGAGAGACATTGACTGTCTTCAACATGGATAAATGCATCTGTGGATGCCTTCTGCAGCTTGCCAGCAGGCTGCACAGGGGCCATCTGCACCTCACAAACCAGCTTGCTTATCCCACAGTCAGCTTTGAGGAGGGGTAATAATACGGATGGACAGCAAATCTAACCTTGCATCAAATGTGGGGATTTCTCTTACACAGTTGTGTAGATGCACTATTGGGTTTGTGGTTCAGTCATTACATTTTGGTTTCCTAGCAGCAATATCTAAGAAATGATGTAAGAATTAAAAAATCGATGCATGCTTGTGCCTACAGTGTGGCTGCACTGTACAAAAGTGTTTGAACAGTTTGGTGAGAGTTGCTACAAACACTATAAACTTGACATTTTGTTCTGATTTCTCAGAGTATACTTACAGGTATGAAGTTAATGAAGGTGTAGGGATTCCCAAAATCCCAGTTCATCCTATTGGATACCATGATGCAGAAGTATTATTACGGTGAGTATACATCAGACCTCCTCACCAGAAGTCAGTATTCACAAATGTGCAGCAATTTTTTTTTTATACTAAGATGATAAAATCTACGGTGTTACTTGTATTTAGACATAGAATCACAGAATCATAGAATGATTTGGGTTGGAAGGGACCTCAAAGATCATCTAGTTCCAACCCCCCTGCCATGGGCAGGGGACAAGGGACACCTTCCACCAGACCAGGTTGCTCCAAGCCCCATCCAGCCCGGTCTTGAACACTGCCAGGGACGGGGCAGCCACAACTTCCTTAGGCAACCTCTTCCAGTGTCTCACCACCCTCAGGGTGAAGAACTGCTTCCCTGTATCTAGTCGAAACCTGTCCTCTCTCAGCTTCCAACCATTACCCCTATCACTGCAGGCCCTTGTAAAAAGTCCCTCCCCAGCCTTCTTGCAGGTCCCCTTCAGGTACTGGAAGGCCCCTATAAGGTCTGCCCGGAGCCTTCTCTTCTCCAGGCTGAGCAAGCCCAACTCTCTCAGCCTGTCCTCATAGGAAAGGTGTTCCAACCCTCTGACCATCTCGGTAGCCCTCCTCTGGACTCGGTGCAACAGCTCCATTATTGCTCTTTTGTAGTAGTGTATGCTTCAGAAGATGTGGAAAATTCAAAACAATCTGTTTCTGGCATAATGTTTTTAAGAATTTTGTAAACCCACCCTGGTTTAGGTGCAGTAATCATTAAGGGAATTTAAGGTTTTAGCCTACTGGTCAACTACATTTGTCTTGGTTTTCACTTAACAGTGCAATGGGAGGACCTGCAGCTCCAGACAGCAGCTGGAAAGGAAGTCTCAATGTGTCTTATAACATAGGGCCAGGATTTGCAGGCAATTCTTCTACAAGGTCTGTTTTAACACTTGCCTATTTATAAAATATTGGAAAAAAAATCTCAACAAGAAAAAGACTGTGAAACAATACGTCTAGAGATATTCTGGAGAAATTTATTTCCTTCTGAGTGAGCAACACTTGGTGATAATTATTAGAATTCGAAAATAAATTAGAAAAACTATGGTTTTGCTCAGTGTCCCCAGTGTCAATGGACAGACAGATTCAGAAGGTATAGGTCCAGCCCTGTCATTCCAACTTTACCCTTACTTTCAGGTTCAGACATCGTTTCATGGTGCTTTTCAAAATGGCTATGTAGCAGTATGTAGACATTTTTAAATACTGTTCAATTAACCCAAAACTTCCTCTTCACTTCAAGTTTGGTCTTTCTTTTCTGTTTCTGATGACCAAGGGGACAATAGGACAACCAGCTTGTACCAGTCCAACAGGGAAGGATTGACAGTTCAGTAGTTCTCTTCTATGTGTATTTCCCTTGTCCACTGGAAGCCTCCCAGGTTTTCTGCGAACTTAGAGCTGTGAAGTGTGGCAGTTATTTGGCAGTCCATCAACTGCTCCCCAAAGCTGGAAGGAGCAATGGTTGAAAGCCCTGAACAGTAACAGGATGGAAGAGCCCAAAGGACATATGTCTTACTAGTCTGTTTGGGAGGAATTGGCCTTTGACCAGTTGGGATTAGCAAAAGTAAATTTGCGGTTTACTTTTTTCCACCTCTAACAGAGAAATACAACTGTCCAGGTCTTCAGCACTAACAGAGTCAATCTCTAGCAGACCAAGCCTCATAACAATTGCATTTGGTGACCAGGGACTTGACTAGCTGTCAGGCACTGTCATAGGATTCTTCCTTGTTTATAACTGATAAGCTGCAATAGGTAAAGCTAAAGATCACTTTTTCCCATAAAAATACTTTCAGTTTACATGAGAGATTATTCTGTGAGGACTGGTAGTGGACCACAATGAAAAGTGTGTAAAAATGGTGTTATCATTGTCACTGCTTCACCTCCCACAAAACAAGAGTATGTCTGCATACAGAATTTTATGAAGACTTCATTGATCATTATTCTTTTCTGCTCTACTTGAACAGCAGCTGAAAATGAATAATGTAGGGATAAATTAATAAGAAAGCATATTTGACATAATTAAGGTGCTGTTTGCAATGTCTTAGAGAACAACAGTAAGAAAAAAACCAATACGATTCATCCACAAAACACTTACTTGGGAAATATTTTTTGATACACTTTTTAACATCTTCCTACTTGAGAAGGTAACAGTTTTTGGAAATATGGGCTAATCCTACATGTACTTCTTTCTCAGAGTATCTCCATATCAAAATGAACATTTTGAGTCTAGGTAGAAAGTCACTTGCACATGGGAAGTGTGCAAGTGTATGCATGCTCAAGGCACTGGTGCCAGTTATTTTCTGGGCAAAGATCCAGTAGCTGATCTGCAGTAGGTTTTGATTTTGACAGCTATACAGATTTACTGCTGAAAAGATAGATTCAAATGTGAAACTCTTGGGGGTTTGCCAGACACACAAAAAGCATTGTTTGATTCTTTGTTTCTTCTACAGGTTAAGATGGGCTGAATACTCCCTTATTTTTAGCTCTCCTAACACTTGAATTTCCTTCCTTTTTATAAAATTTCACAAGCAGGCTTTGCTAGGGGAGGAGGGATGAAGGAGTGCCAAATCTTGATCACTTAGATCTGGTGTCCTAAACAGAGATTTCAGTTTATTCCTGGATGAATATTTCTAATGATCTCTCCAAGTTCTATCTTATTACGTGGAATTGTGCTAGAAATCCAAAGCGTATTCCTTATAAAAATATGTATATCCACAATGATCATTTTGGTCAAAATGTAAATTTTCTTTAATTACTGTATATGCTTTCAAGTTTACTCTCTAATACACGATCATCCAATTGACTCCCAGAAATAACAATTTAATAAATTCTGCAAATGTTTGAAAGTTTATAAGTTGGCCCACTTCATAGGATTTTTTCTAAGGCATCTTTCTGTCAGCAGGTTAACCTGAAATAAAAAATGGGACAGTGACACAACATGACAGGTTAGATTAGTGCTGAACACACAAAGTAGAACAGAAGTACAAACTTTTTGGCTTACAAGTTATTAATGTTGACTTTTTATTGCCTTCTCAGTCAGAAATGATTACTCTGTACCGCTTTTCATTTCAGGAAAGTCAGAATGCATGTTCATACAAAGAATAATATAACACGGATTTACAACGTCATTGGCATTCTCAGAGGAGCTGTGGAACCAGGTGAGCTTGATGATTTTGATTCCTTCTTTATTTTATGTTTGCTGAAATTGTTCTCATGTTACAAGAAACAAGGTTTTTAGATAGCCAGACAATACGGAATCTGAGAAACCCTTATATGATAGTTGTTCTGTCCCTCCCATAACACTGTTTTTCATTTGCATTCCCAAGAATATATATGAATGGGAACGCTAGAATGATAGATGTCAGAGAATCTGATGTTTTACAGTAGGTTGCCCCTTACATCATTCATACATTTTGCCTTTGCAAAAATTAACACAATGCAAAGTACAGAAAACTAGTGATGTTTTGAGACCTCAGCATACCATTGTCGATACACAGTAGCAGGTGATATACATGCAAGAATTTGATGTGGAAAACTATGTATAAAATACTTCTTGACTTCATTTATATACTTCAGTAGAGTAAGTGAATGATTAACTTAAAAAAAAAAATTTTACCACTGGTATTGAACTTCATATTTCGTTTGACACAAGTAGGGACGCAATCAAAGGAAATACAGCTAACCTAAATGCATTTTTAATTTAAGGTTGATATTGTGTGTTTATTTCCAGACAGATATATTATTTTAGGAGGTCATAGAGACTCTTGGGTATTTGGTGGTATTGATCCAACTACGGGTGCAGCTGTTCTGCAAGAGGTTGTACGGAGCTTTGGTAAAATGAAGATAAAAGGTAAGTTACTTACTACAGATATAAAATGATGGATATGGAAAACAGCAGCTTTGAGGAACTGTGTTGAATGTTCCCATAAGCAGTTGTGTTGGTTTAACTTTTCGCCTTTACAGAAAGTTGTGTTTCTCATTATGAAAGATGCAAGTTCATTGAAGTGATGCATATGTAGCATTGCATCTTAGTTGGCTGAATTTATTCCCTCAAGTCTCTCATCAGTGTAATAGTACCCTCTTAGTTGTGTGGAATGAAAATATTGCATTAACAAGAAATGCCTCTGCAATAATATGTTCCCCTAAGGAGTTTAAAGAGGATTTTTTTTTACTGCTATATCAATTAAGTGCTATATTTTTGAAGTGTTTTCAATTAACTGTGGTGACCTTTCACTAGACTTTCCAACTTTAAGTTGAATTTTCAAGTTTAACTATGTGATTGCAGGTTGGAGACCTAAGCGAACTATTATTTTTGCTAGCTGGGATGCAGAAGAATTTGGATTATTGGGTTCCACAGAATGGGCTGAGGTAAATAAAAAATGTCTCCTAGTGCTCTCTATGTGGAAATCTATCTCCCTATTTAACAGAATGATAGCATTTTATATAACCTAAACTGATTTATTTTCTAACTTTCTATTTGAGAAATTCCTTAGTTTCTGTAAACTGAAGCCCAGATCATGTACCTGTGATCCATAAGCACAGCAAGCCCTCTGTGTGGAAATTAATCCTCCTGGGCAAATGAAAGTGTAGGTAACCTATGAGTGAATAGTTCAAAATTCTTGTGAAACTTACAGTATTGTAGTGTCTCAGGGGCAAGACAATTGATTAATTCTGTAGTGGGATACTTGACTATTGTTCCTGCCTGATAGAAGAATGTCAAAAGATTCAGAAGTGAGGTTCTGAATGGTTTTCTCTTCCTTTCCTTGTATGACATGTTCAGTTCTTAACCCTGTAAGTGGATTTGTTCAGTCCCAGTAAGAAATATATGTCTTACAAGAATTTTCATTGCTTTGTCTGTAAAATTAGAAATAGAATGGGCAGAAAATTGGCTGATGAAACACATGTCTGCTGAAATATGTGAATTCATTAGTACTGAATGGTTTAACAGTAATATGTTGTCTTGTTCTTCTGTTAAAATTTTATTTAAAAGGTTATATTTAGACCTGTGGACAGAGATTTCAAAATGTATAAAATAAAATATTTTAATCTTTTTGATTTAGTTTATTGTCATTACAGTAAACCACAAAATTACATAGCAAAATGACAGTGTCAGAGGAGGGAACAAAATCAGAAGTGTGCTCCCAAACAGTAAAGAGATTCCACCATTCTTCTGTTAACAAAGCTGAGATCTCTGTTCCTTTGGGTTTGCACTAATTCTTTGTCCCATAAAGTGGCTTTCAGCTGCAATAGACTCTCTGCTTCTTACTGTTGCTTTATGGAACATTAGATGAAGAAAGCATGATTTAAATTATCTTTAAAATAATTTACTGAGAGATTTTAAAGAGTCAGCATTAATGTTTCATCCCACCTGAACTCCACTGGTAACAAAAGTATACTGTACATAAAACGTTATTTGTGACTTTGTTGTCTATGTATCTGTGCACATATTTAAATGAGAAGAGAAAACACACAATTATTTTAATGATGAGAAATATGAAACAATTATACTTAAAAGATTAATTTCTCTTGAGCAAGTCAGAAATAAATTAGGAGTTCTTTTTATGTTTGATTTGTTCACATAGTGCTACTGCTGTTCTGTAATGTTTTTTGCTTAATAATTTTATATCTAGTAATCTATCATCCATTATGTCAAGAAACAGCAGCTGTACTAGATTAGAAAGCCATAAGCACAATTCATATTTCAACCTCAATTTTTTTTATTATTGTTTTCTTGCTTTATCTTGGTGATGTGCATTCCTACTCTTTTACACCTAAATTAGATTCAGTTTCTCTAGAGACATTCCTTGCAGCCTGCATTCAAGTTTTCTGCAGCTGCCAAATCTATCATGCGCTAAATCTTGAGGCAAATTAACCCATGATATTTGTCTTCTGTGTAACAAAAAGACTCTGCAACTGTGGCAACATCCCTTTGTTACATAGACAATCTCCATTGCTCATAAATGAAGGAATTTATTTCTGCTGCAAATATGTTTTTGCATATATGCATACACAGGCTTGCCCGCTCTCTTCGTATTCTTTTGCAGAATCTCCTCTACTGTTTGTTTTAAAGATATTGACGTTTTTATGAAGTTATCAATTACTAACTCAATTTTTAGTTCACGTGATTTACAAATGATTAGTTGGGTTATAAATTGAGTGAATCAAGTAACAATTACTAACCTAATTAGAATATCTATCACAAAGCCAAGTCTTAGTAAAATACCACTTACTGATTAGAATATCAATTTCAAACATAATTACAACTTTGCAAGAAATTAAACAAGTGTGTGTATATATTTAGCATGAAAGCAATGCTTGGTTGACTCAAAACAATCAGTTGAATTTATTTTAATAGGAAATGTTGGTGCTTTGACTTATCCCTTTTTGAAATGGAAGACTGCAGAAATGACAGCAATACTTGCTTTATCAGTGTGAAAATTGACTTCAGTGCTGGGAGCTCACATGATTAACTAGGGATTACGAGCATGGAGGAATTCTGGCTGACTTCACAGTCACGTGTTGCACATTCAAAAAGCACTGGAAGTGCAGAGTTAAAACACATGTATAACCTTAATTTACCCTGTTACAATGCTGCTCAGTAATTTTTCTGTTCCATCTTGCTCCTGGTGATGCAGCAGGCAGCACCTAGATTTTGTGGATGTTTTCCACAACAAATTAAGTCCCAGAAAGACTGGATTTCATATGCCCAGATCATTGACCCATCCTCAAACATTAATATAATTAATAAGGCACATAGTGCTGCTTACCCTGACTGGATTCCTAAAGGTAATGCTATTAAAAACAGTGCACTTAACATGCTCCTAAGTAAATGTTACTAATTGAGAGTAATAATTACACTTTTACAACCCCAGGAAAATGCCAGAGTCCTCCAGGAACGGGCAGTTGCTTACATCAACACAGATTCTTCTATAGAAGGTGTGTCTTTTATTTTTAAACTCACTTTACTTCACAGATGCCGATTTTAATAGTTCAATGTGTATTATTTATGGCATCCAGAGCTAGCAAACATAAGATAGATAATGTGATGTTCAGCATAAGTGTAGCAAATACAGAATTAAGTGGAGAGAGAGAACAATTTAAATCCTCATGTTGCTTTCTTGTTGCAAATAACGCCATCCATGAGCTGCAGCCCACGTGTCTGGAGTCCAGAATGTCTCCTCTGGAGGAGTTTAATATCATGTGCTAATGAACTGAGTGGTCTGAATGTTAAATTCTCTCTTAACTGCGGTAGCTTTAATTTACAATTACAGCTTTAATATATGACAGACTGCTCCTTGTTCTGCATGCAGCTCCAGCTCCTTTCCCTGTGGAATTGTAATATTTTTGGACACCAATTTGTTACGATCTTAAGACAATTTTTGTTGAGACCTTAGGTTTACATTTTGTGAGGGTGGGACCCATTTTGGTGCAATGGGCCAGTGTGGTGACCTTTGTTCATTGCTATGACCAGGGACAACATGCACGGGGTTACATATGTGTTATTGCAGGGCTTTTCTAGAAAAATAAGCGCTGAAGAGTGTTTCCCAAAAAAACTAATCCACCATTATCCAATTTACTATGCCCTTCAGATTACGAGAAGAATCTGTCATATAGGAATGCTGCTTAGAAACTGGACTTTGAATTTTGGGCCCAACACTGTCACCTAAATCACAAACTCATTTTTAAATTACACTGAGCTTTACTATAGAAGAATTTAATTTACTGTTGTCTGTGCTGAAATAATAGTCAGTAGCGTCCTGTGAAGCTGTCCTGAAACATAACCTCAGCTATTTAGGGCATTGGTCTTCCTATGTTAAACCCAACTTATTTGGGCTTACTGTGTGTGAATAAAATGGATATCAACAGGCATATTTAAGAACTCTTTTTATTCCTGTCAGCTGAAAATTTTGTCTGTCACAAAAGGTTTGGAAAGAAAGAAAAGTCAAACCCAGTTCCTAAACGCTCAGTTGGAGTTGGGGTGTAGGGAGTGTTAGAGTTGTTCCTTCAATTATGCAGCCTACATGCTGTGTAAAAAGTAGAGCAGAATTTCACGCCTAGAAGATCACAAATGAAATAGTAGCTTTACAACTGCTTCATATTCTCAGCATGGATTGTAACACATATTTTTTAGTTGGTTTGCAGCCAACATGCTGCTGCCTTAACAATTTTCCTCTAAATCTTGATTATTCAAACATGTCTCTTGCTTTATGCATTAAACAAAATGTGAAAGTAAAATCATTGGAAAAGAAATATGTACTAAGGAAAAGAACACCATATTCAGTGTACTGTTTCAGCTGTCTTGGGTATCTTTCACCTGACTGAGCATTAAAATCCCCTGTAGAGCTATAGCTGTACCCTGCTGATTATTTTGTTTATCATCATACATTCTCCACAGCGCTTTCTTACGCCACATTTTGGACAGCAAATTATTTCTATTCATTGTCCTTTAGCAAGGAAAAGAAGAATAGTGGGTCATCCTTTTGAGCATTTTTGTGACTTTAATTTCCAGCTCTCAAATATAGACTCTCCTTGGAAACATCGTTATCTACTGTTATTTCCATTACCATGGGTTTTTTTGTAACTGTCAGTCTAGTCCTTTTGTGAGTACACACTGTGCAAAAGATGGCCCAAAGGTCTAAACCCATATCAAAACCTAGCAGCTATGATATCTGAGAGCTTATGTTTTATTATGGCCCAGCTTTCTCATCCCTCTTCCCCTCTTTGTCGGTGTCTCTATTTGAGGGCAGAGAGCTTGCCCGGCTGCTGTCCAGTGGCTGCTTTACGCTCCTGCCTGCCTCAGAATTGGCATTAGCTTCTTTTCCATGGGGCTCTTGCTGCTGTAACTGGCAACTTCATTATAAGATACTTACCTAGCTCAGTGTAGCCCGCAGGCAGCGTGGAAACCTTATGGCTGTAAAGTATAGAAACCACAGCGTGGTGGTAAAAGGAGAGGTTTAGAAGATAGTAGATGAAAACTACTCTGCATCTTTGTTGCCTCCTATTTGGGTGAGACTTAGTTGTGAAATATAAAATGCCAAATGTCTTGCATGTCTCTTACTCAGAAGATGCCCTGTCTTTCAGATACAGCCTGCAAAAGCGTTGATAAAATACTCTATAATAAGAGAAGTAGCAGCTGCATTGAAACTCTTCTTAAAACATCTTGCAGGGAGTGTGTTTTTCCTCCTGCACAGTTCCTGAATGCACTAACTTTATTTTCAACATCCTACAAAAAGTAGGATGTTATCATTGCCTTCTGTTTAACACAAGCTTCAGGGAGTGTATGAGTGATGAGGGCTTGCAGCTAATGAGGGATAGTAAAGCATCATTTAGGACTATGGGAAGGCTTAATTACATTACTGTGTATGTACTGTAACCAATGCATCATCGTTGTGTAGTAGCAGTAGCTTATACGATGTGACCAAGTAGTCTATTTCTGTATATATTCTGAGGCAAGACCTAAATTCTTGCCTTGGAGTCAAGAAGGCTGTCAAAGAAAGGGCTGCAGGGTTTAATCCATTAAGAAGATAACGCCACTGTACATGAAGGGAAAATTTCCATATCTTTGTTTCACTTTCAGGTAACTACACATTGAGAGTTGACTGCACCCCTCTTCTCTACAAACTGGTGTATCATCTGACAAAAGAGGTGCAGAATCAGAGTGTCTGTTATTTGTGACTGCAACTTTATTGAATAAAATTGGATTATTGAATAATATTGGATTTATCTTATCACTGTGCTAGAAGAATCTTGATCCCACCAAAATCAATAGCAAAACATCCTACCAGTGGTACACAATCCAGGCTCACAGTTCCTCAGTATTCTTAGAAAGGTTGAAATGTGTCACTGACATAAGTGGCATATTATTTTCAATATATAGTAAAAATAATAATAATAAAACCAAGACAATAAAACACCTGAGCAAGATCAATTCTCTAGAGTCATAAGCATTCAAGGGAATAAATTGCATTTAAAATTTCCATTTCATGTGCAAAAGAGAATCTACTCATTTTCACATTGGCTAGCTACCATTTTCTCTCTGTGTGTTCCCCCTGGATCTCCTTCATATCACACTGAGGCCCTGAAATATTGTGATAAATATTGAAGGATTGAGTGGGTTTTGTAATAAGCCAGATGTATGGATTTGCATGATTACAAGTGGTCTCCTTTGCTTTGATGATTTTCATGGATTATCATAAGGCTGAAAGATTGTGATCCATTAAAGCATGAAACTTCATTGGCTGTATGAGGCATTAACCAGATCAGGCACCTAGCATGAGCCTGAGGTCTGGATTAATTTCAATTAACATAAGACATTTCCGTCTGACTAAAGCAATGCAGGCTCCCTTTAAATGCAATGGGTAGAAATAGGCACCTTTAGGGTGAGATTCTTTGACCGAAAGTGGTTGTCTACTCTTGTGCACACAGGACTAGTTTTTCCCTTGATATTAAGGGAACTCCAGGTGACTTGGTTCAGTGTAAAAAATCTTCATTGTAATGGCACTTAGTAGGATGACTCCAGCTATTAGTCTCCAATCCCACTAGATGCATTCATCTTGAGCTATTTTCAAATGCAGTACACTTTCTTCTAACACTGGAAATGCCATGATCTGAATCTGTGGCAGTTTATCTATCCTATTCCCATGTCTTTTCTCTTTTCTCTTTTTCTTTTTCTTTTTCTTATCAGCTCTTTCTATCTTACTCTCTTCCTTGCAGGGGAAGAAGCCATGCTTGTTCAAATGTTAGCTGTGACATGTCATACACTGAAGTTCACCTATAAAAGTTTCCATGTCTCTAGTGCTGCAGAGCCCTGAAGAAAATAATTTACTTTCTGACTGCAGCAAGCCACTTACCCAGGGATACATTTTTCTGCGAAAGATAAACGAAGTAAAAGAATGCTCTGAGCTAAAAATAGTACCTCACTCTTGATCTGAAGTCAACTATTCAACTGTTGCAGGTTTGAGTGGAAAACTTCCATTACAGTACCGTATGAAGTACTTGACACTGGCTTTCTTGAAAATTTTCCTATTCAGTGTTATTTAAGCTTTTAACAGTACAAGTGTAAAGTAAACAGCAGAAAACCTGACAACTGTTCCATAACTCCATGCTGTCTCGCTGCTAAAAATCTCCTAGATTATAGTCATCCGTATTCTTCATAGCTCCATTTATAAAGGGGGTTATTTTGTGGTAGAGAGTTGTCAGTGAAAAGTCTGTCTATTTCTTGAGCTTCTTAAAGCCACTGTTGGATCATCTTAGATTTTTTTTTTTTTTTGTGTTAGCTTGTTACAGACAAAACCCACAACTACTTTTTCTTTTCTGTTGTTCCACAGAGCAGGATTCTGCAACAACATTCTGATTCTCAGCTGTTTTCTGTTTTCTGTACACAGTCAAAGAGAATTTTCCCTGGCTTTATCATATTGTCTCTGTCCAAAGAATCTCCTTTTTTTCTTCTACATATTTTTTTTCCGCTGTCTCGCTAAATAAATTTGAGATACTCCTCGCTACATTTGTCTAGAGGAGCATTTTCCTCTTTTTTTTACTGCTAAGCCTGGGACTGCCTCTTGTCTTTTTGAAAAATGAAATTGTGGTTCAATTTTTACTGTGATTCAACATTGTAGTTTTAATTTCTGAACCATCTTTCATTTACCAGCGTTGGTGTGCCACTAGTGACCTCTGGCAATCCATGAATCACAGGCTG